TGTGGTGGGCACCTGTAGTCCCAGCTACTTGGGAGGCTGAGGCAAGAGAATCGCCTAAGCCCAAGAGCTGGAGGTTGCTATGAGCTGTGACCCCACAGCACTCTACAGAAGGCGACAAAGTGAGACTCTTGTCTCTAAAAAAAAAAAAGAAAAGAAAATGGGCAAAACACATGAGCAGACATCCTACCACAGAAGATACACAGTAGACAGCATACAGCACAGGGAGAAGGCTCAACATCATCAGCCACTAAGGGAATGAAAACAGACGGAGCCACGGCACCTCGCAGCACCACAGCAACTGCCGTGCAACGTGCAACGAGTGCCTCGGTGCAGACGAGACTGAAGGCTCGACAAAACAAGCCAGTAAAAGATGACAAATGCCACATGACTCCACTGCATGAGATACCTGGGGACAGAAGGAGGACGGTGAGCACGGTGGGGGGTAGTGAGTGGGGTAGGGGGGGTGGTAGTCGGTGTTTAGCGGCAGAGTTTCAGGTTGGGAAGATGAAACAGTGCTGGAAATGGATAGTGTGACGGCCGCCCAACATGCCCTTGAAATGTGCACTTGAAAATGGTTACGATGGTTAAGTGTTACATTATGGTATTTTACACAGTTTTTATTTCTTTTTTCTTTTTCTTTTTTTTGAGACAGTGTCACTATGTGGCCCTCGGTAGAGTGCCATGGTATCGCAGCTAACAACAACCTCCAACTCCTGTGTTTAGGTGATTCTCTTGCCTCAACCTCCTGAGTAGCTGGGACTACAGGCGCCTGCCACAATGCAGTTTTTTTTGTTGCAGTCTGGCCGGGGCGGGGTTCGAACTCGTCACCCTTGGTATATGGGGCCGGCGCCCTACCCACTGAACCACAGGCGCAGCCTAATGATTTTTAAAAATTAAAATATTTTTAACAAAACTAAAAGAAAGAAATCAGCATGGGACTGGGGATCCAGTACACAGACTAAGGATTCACTTCACACCCTGAGAGCTCATTCCCAGACTGGCAGGGTCAGATGTCTAGAGAGTCCTTTGGCAGGAAACCATTGAGACAACCCGGCAACTGTGAAAGGGCCAGTGGTCTCACCCATCAATGCAGATGTAGAACAGGACCCCACATATGTACCTGGGACTGCACAGGGGAGTACGGGCTCCCAGGCTCCCCACTCAGCAAGGTCTCACTGTTCATTTTTGTTTTTAGACAAGCAATATAGCGACTGCAGAAATCTTTGCAGAGTTCATTAACCTTTTCCAGCTCCAGAAGATGAATACGCAAAACCTGGATTGCTTTTACCATCTAAAAGCAGAGAAAAGAAAGACGTTCAGACAAGAAAAAGGTTGCATTACAGTGAGTTACCATTGTCACACATAACTAGTTCTTAGTTATTAGACAGAATCTAGGAAAGAGAAGGACTCAAATCAGAAGTTGCACAAATTGATGACCCATTCTAGTGCCACTGTGTGTGGGAGTACAGGGGACACACGAAGGTGCCCGGGGCCTTGCTCCACCGCTCTCTCTGTGACAGGGCACCTTGTTTACCCCGTCTACTCAGTCTCTGCATTCATAAATAGGAATATATCCATACGCACTCCTAAGTGGTTCTAAACTTTAATAATGCTCAATTTTGGTGTCAAGTCTAAGAACACTTTGCCTAGCCCTAGATCCAGATTTTCTCTTATGTTTTATATTTTTGTACTGAGTTACTAAGTTGTGGGGTATTTTATCCCATAGCAATAGATAACTAATGTCAACAACGAACCCCTTTCATAAGTACCATGCACCTGTGAATCAACAACTCTAAAGCTCATCTCCTTCACCTATGAACTTGAAGGTGACAACCCATATATATTTGTGCAATGAATAAATGAACCAACTAATCAACAGCAAAAACCACTAAGTACCACGCTCTGCCAGGCCTGTGCTAAACACTCACCAGTCAGGGGCACCTTGTCCCTGCCACCCAGAGGGGAGAGAGGACACCTGCTCCCCACCTGCTGTCAAGGCAGGAGTGGGCCAATGGAAAGATGGATACACAACAGAATCAGGCAGAGAGAGCTGCTGATCCTCACCCCAAAAGGGCCAGTACTGTGAAGTCTCACTTCAGGGATGAGAAGCAGATAACTCACCTGTGAATTCTATTAGGTGGCCAGGCATCTGGGCTTATACCTGTAATCCTGGCACTCTGGGAGGCTGAGGCAGAATTGCCTGAGGCCAGGAGTTTGAGATCAGCCTGAACAAAAATGAGACTTCATCTCTATGAAAAATAGAAAAATTTGGCTCAGCACCCGTACGTCAGTGGTTAGGGCATGGGCCACATACACCAAGGCAGGTGGATTTGAACCTGACCCAGGCCTGCTAAACAACAATAACGATTACAACAGAAAAATAGCCAGGCACTGTGGCAGGAGCCTGTAGTCCCAGCTACTTGGGAGGCCAAGGCAAGAGAATCGCTTAAGTCCTAGAGTTTGAGGTTGCTGTGAGCTGTGATGTCACAGCGCTCTACTGAGGGTGACATAGTGAAATTCTGTCTCAAAAAAGAAAAATAGAAAAATTAGTCAGGGGTTGTGGCAAGGGCCTGTAGACCCAGCTCCTCAAAAGGCTGAGGCAGAAGGGCTGCATGAGCCCAGGAGTTTGAGGTTGCTGTGAGCTATGACAACACCAGGCAACAGAGCAAGACTATCTCCAAACAACAACGATAACAACTATCAGGACTAGTAAGGACTGAGCATATTCTGAGTAAGAATCTTTTTATTTTAAAGATACAGGGTCTCATGCTGTCACCCAGGCTGGAGAGCAGAGGCATGATGATAGCTCCCTGCAGTCTCAAACCTCGGGCTCAGGTCATCCTCCTGCCTCAGACTCCCAAGCTGCTGAGACTGCAGACGTGCACCACCACGCCGGGCTCACTTTGTTGTTTTTCGTAGAGATGAGGTCTTGCTATATTATATTGCTCAGGCCAGTCTCAAACAATCTCTTGCCTTAGCCTCACGAAAGTGCTGGGACTACAGGCATGAGGCCCACATGGGTCTGACTTTTTTTTTTGAAAAGTCTTACTCTGTCACCCTGTGTAGCGTGCTGTAGCATCATAGCTCACAGCAACCTCAAACTCCTGGGCTCAAGCAACTCCCCTACCTCAGCCTCCTGAGCAGCTGGGACTATAGGAGCCTGCCACAATACCCAGCTAGTTTCTCTATTTTTAGTTGAGACTGGGTCTTGCTCTTGCTCAGGCTGGTCTTCAACTCCTGAGCTCAAGCAATCCTTCCTTCTCAGCCTCCCACAGTGTGGGGATTACAGTCAAGAGTCACTGAGGATGGCCCTTGGTTTTGTTTGTTTGTTTGTTTTGATTTTTTAAAAGCTAAAACCTGGGCAATTTATTCAGGAAGTTTTCCCAAGGCCTTTTTGAAGGGCCCTGCCCACGGTTTTGATGTGGGACCCATTAGGCTCTAATGGAGTACAGGGACAGTCCCTGAAGCCAGGTCTCTGTGCTACTGCCCATCTGAGAGGGAACCGCTTGCCAGTGCTCAGGTGGGAGCAGAGTGGTGCGCAGATGAAGGCTGTGCTGCCACAGAGCTCCGAAAGACAGAGCTGACTCTGGGTCTACCAGAGACCTTACGTCCAAGTAATTCTCCATTTCCTTCGGAGAGTGCAGAAAACACTGGATTTTGGAGCCATGGACCTGGGAGTAGGTCTCTGGTCCCTGGGAGTACCACGAATCAGTGTGGGCCTCAAGGCAGTGCTGTCTTTGAGAATAAAGTCACATGGTAACCCAACAGCAGAATTTGAGCACAGACTCCCCAACCCCGTGAACCTTTACAGATCCACAGGAGATACCCGAATCCCCCAGTCCTGTCAGGAAGGAGGCGCAAATCATTTATTCGCTCAGTGAAGGAAAGGTCGACTGGCCAAGGCCTTATGGACACCCGATCACATGCGCTAGCAGGTATGCTCCTCCGTGACTGTACGGCTCTCTCCTTCAGCAGGACTCCAAGGAGTCTAAATTCTACTTACACATTCAAAATTTTACTTACTAAATTGTCAGTTTCTGGATCTTCACAAAAGAAAGGTTTCCCCTCTTTCTCTTGCTTCCTTACAAAATTTTCAATGTCCACATCAAAACTGGCAGAAGTTGTGCCTTCGGAGCCCTGGGTGGATTGTTCACATTTTTCAAACAACAAAGCTAATAATGGGAACAGTGGATGCCTGGGGAGGAATAAAAAGAATAAACACACGTCTCACACGCCTATGAGAAAGTGTTAGTGTGTGTGCGAGCATTATTTTATATCACACCTTTGCTGGGTTCTAATTTATACATCACACAATTTATCCGTTTAAAGTATAAAGGTCAACGGTTTTCAGTATGTTCATAGACTTGTGGCATCATTAGCAGTCACTTTTAGAATGTTTTCATCATCTCCAAAAGAAATCCTGTACCCAGTGGCCGTCCATTTACCCCACACCGCAGCCCACCACAAATCTACTTTCCATCCCTATACATTTACCTCCTTTAGACATTTCATATAATCGGAATCATACCCCATGTGACTCACGGTGGTCGGCCTCACCCCATATAATGTTTTCAAGGCTTAGTTGTAACCTGCTATTGGTTACTTCATTCCTTCGTATGTCCAAATAACACTCTATTACACGGATGTACCACTTTAGTGCTGAGGCATCACAGGTCACAGCAACCTCCAACTCTTGGGCTTAAGTGATTCTCTTGCCTCAGCCTCCCAAGTAGCTGGGACTACAGGGGCCTGCCACAACACCCGGCTATGTCTGTTGCAGTTGTCACTATTTTAGCTGGCTGGGGACAGGTTCAACTCTGCCATCCTCAGTATATGGGGCTGGTGCCCTGCCCCCTGAACGTACCACATTTTGTCAATTTGTCCATTAGTTGTTGGACAAATGGGTTGTTTCCCACTTTGGTTCTCATGGTTAATGTTGCTATGAGCACTGACACCCAGTCTGTGTGTGGATAAGTGCTTTCCCATCTCCTGCGTACCTGCACGCAGTGGGACTGCCAGGTCACACGCAGCTCTCTGCCTTCTTCAGGCACTGCCAGACTTTTCCAAGTGGCCACCCCACTTTATATTCCCACCAGCAATGTATGAGGATTCTACTCTCGCCATAGTCTCAACGCCACTTGTTCTTTTCTGTACAGCATCAAAATGAGAGGTGTGTCTCTGGTATTTATTTTTACACAATAAATCAGCATGTATCTCTTGAAAAAACTTCAGACCACATTTGCAAAAATCAAGCAGAAATCCACTGGGCACCACACTACTCCCCGCCCTCCTCTCCCCGAGTGGTGCTGTGAATGAGTTAGTGGGGGGTCCTTGCCCTGAGGACATGGCATTCACACGGTTCTGTACCTGGGTGTGTTCTTCAAAGTGTTCCTACATCACTTGAGGGGACTGGCTCCACAGTGCAGGTCTCGGGAGCTGGCCAGGGCCCCGACTCCGTTGAATGCCCTTGACACTGTTAATGCACTTGGAACAAGGAGCACCTCGTTTTCTTTTTGAAATGTGTCCCCTAAATTATGTAGTCAGTGCTGCTTAAGAGAGAGTATCAGTGCACCTTAACTGTGGCAATGCAGGCCACAGTCTGAGACCCCACAGTGTCACATTTACTTGCTGTTTGTTGTTTGAGTTGTTCACAGATGATTACTGTTTACAATGTAGGAGCCTGGGTTCACATAAGCAATGACCTTTCAGGGGAGCTAGGTAGAAACAGGATGGCATAAACATTATAAGTTACTACCGTTATTACCGTACCGGCTAGGGTTGGTGGCTCACGCCTACAATCCTGGCACTCTGGGAGGCCAAGGCAGGTAGAGCTCAGGAGTTGGAGACCAGCCTGAGCAAGAGACCCTATCTCTACTAAAAATAGAAAAACTAGCCAGGCATCCTGGTAGGTGCCTGTAGTCCCAGCTACTCAGAGAATTGCTTGAGCCTAGGAATGTGAGATTGCTGTGAGCTACGACGGTGCTAAGCACTCTATCTAGGGTGACTGCATGGGACTCTGTTTAAAAAAAAAGAAAAGAAAATATTACCATCACGCGCTGCAGTAGGATAAACTGTGAAGACACTAGGCTAAGTGCAATATCCTGTCACAAAAGGAAAAATACCATATAATTCCACTTACATAAGCTCTCTAAAATGGTCAAGTTCATAAAAACACAAGAGTAGAATGGGGCTCAGCAGGTGCCTGGCGGGGGG